AAAATCAAAAAATATATTCTTTATGAATTAAAGCAATTAGAAATTGAAAATAAAATATGTGCTATTGTTAGTGATAATGGTAGGGATATTAAAAAAGCAACTAATGATATCAAACCCGGTCTACGTATTTCATGTATTGCACATAATATTAATTTGGTTGTACAGAATGGTTTAGGACTATGGGAAAAATCAACAAAAAAGAAGTAAGCTTTTTCTTAGAAAATGGAACATAGACTGCTTTCTATGAAATATTCTTCAAAGAAAAAACAACTGTAACTTAATCATAAGGACAAAATATAATTCGTTCCTTTTCACAAACTGAAATCAACATGCGTTTCTTTACTAATAATGAAAAGCACTAAAATATATTGACATACTTCCTTCAAGTCAGTTGAAACGGTGTATAATAAATATATTAATTCATATATAATTCTAATACTATCTGTCGAGTTTTTTCTGAACAAAACAACTTGACTAATGAATAACCACTTCTATAAACATTGCACACCTCATTCTTCTTTTATATTCAGTCATAGAAAATCTATTTGTTTTAAAAAAAAAACACCAACACTTACCTGTTTCGACAATAGTATCTTTATCGAGACTCCTAATTTCAAGATTATATAACTGATAAAATTGGTATGAGCCTATTTAAAAATAAATCCCCAATGAGGAGACAACTGAGACGTAAAGACTAAAGTCTCTTAAAGTCCCGTAAGATCTCATGAAGTCTTTTGGAATATTTAAGCTAAAACTTTTAATTTAATATGAGGTTTCTTGAAGTTTTACGAACTTTCACAAAGTCTTATGAAGTATCTTCGAGTCTTGTGAAGTCCCAGGAAAGCCTAAATCTCTCTTAAAGTCTTCTGAAGTTCTGTAAAGGCTCATGAAATTCTTCGAAGTCTCTTGAAATCCGCTATCTCTTCATTGCAAGGGAGAAACATCGAACTTCAAGAGACTCCATGAAACTGCAAGAGACTTCATGAGACTTTAAGCTCGTAGTCTCCGTTGTTTCCCCCTCGCTCCCTTGTAAATTTATGTCTTTGCATTATTAATGCTAACTCGAGAGATCAACTTTTATTTTCCTTTTAGACAACCAACACAACAGGTAACAACTGATAATTTTGACAATACTTCAGAAAGTGAAAATGATGCACAATCGGATTCGTATGCTATCGATGTACCTGAGGAAATTGAAGATGAAGCTTCATCAGATAATGGAAATTCAACCGATAGCGAGGAAGAATCTGGTGAAAATCATAATACAACGGATGATGAATCGAACATCGATGTTGAAGATGAATCTGAAGATGAATCTGGAGATGACATCGATGGTGGATATGCAAAAAATTACGATGAACAAGTAGTCCAACAAGGAAATATTCAATTCTCAGTTCTTCAACTAGTGAAACGAATTCGTTCATGCATTGGCAATATTCGTGCTAAAAGAGCTGTACTTGATTATGTTAAAAAGAAAGCACAATCAGTTGATCCACCGATTACATCTACACTTATTACAGACATTGAAATCCGATGGAACACCACATTTGTAATGATCGATCGTTTCACTAAACATCGTGCTATTATTGACGACATTAATGGTCGACCATATCAGATACCAAATACAAGTTCAACACAACAATTAAAAATTGGTTCAAAGGAATTTGAATTCACCAACAATGACTGGCATCGAATAACTGATTTAAAAAAAGCATTAGAACCATTTATGATTTCCACAAATGTAGTGTCTGCCAAAAACTATCCCACGTTAGCAGCAGCTTATTCTGGTGAGATTTTTATTTGAACATGATTGAAAAATTATTTAATATTAAAAAATAAATGCTTTGAGATAGATGGTTTTTTTTTGAATGTGTTTCTCATATTTTAGTTACATACGCTTTACATCACTTTTTGCATGAAACATCTGAATCTGATTCAATCTGGTTAAAATCTTTTAAAAGTTGTCTTCGTACAAAATTTCATCTTTACTTCGACGAAAAAATTAGTCAACACCAAAAAAATATGAATTTAGTAAGTTATAAGTTTATTATTTTTTTTATCTTCCAATGTCGTAGTCTAAACTATAAACTAATGAATTATAGAAAAGAAATAATTTAATTATTCAATAATTTTTATTTAAAACTCTTAACATTAAATATTCATTATTATTTCACTATTATAACACTAGAAAATTAAATAACCATCGATTGCTGACACCAACAAAAACTCAAATGTTGTACCTGTACCTGGGTTTTAATCTTATAGATTGATTTTCACTATATTTGAAAAATACTCTTCTCGAAATTCTTTGATGCTTGAAAATGATTGTAATAGCGGAATTGAATTTGATGGGTCATACTTCGGAGCTATCTAAAGAGCCATTACTCTCCTAGTATAATGCTATCTTGATTAAAAAGAGAATTGTACATTATTGATTAATTAATTTTACATATTCTGCATGAGATATAATTATCTTCTATTAAGCATTGAATTTCAAAAAAAAGACGTTTACATTAAAAAAATCTTTTCTATTAATGCTTATGCATGCAGCTATTGATATTTTGTTCTTTTTTACATCAAACTTAAGCATTTCGGATACTTTTCTTAAAACCCTACGAAAAGAATTACTGATTAAAATAAAAATAGTTTTTCTTACAAAAAAGAACATTTTCTGTTGAGTGTAAAATCAAGATAAAGGATTGAACATATAAATAAAGGAAATTTAATACTTAACAATAGGAACTAATATATATGCTGCAATTAATATATTGCATGAACAAGATGCCCTATGCTTTACGGGTTTCATCCGAGGCCTAGTTTATCCTTTTTTTTTGTTGTTGAAAAAGCTACTATATTCATTCGTTTTCCTTGTTTTGCTTCATCAAAAAAAGGTTATTTTGGTGACGAGTTTTTATTATTTTATTGCTGTTGAAAGACCTATTATATTCATTCATTATCTTGTTTTTTGTCGTTAAAAAAAAGGTTACTTTGCTTAGTTTTTTTTCTTTATTTTTTTTGTTGTTGAAAAAGACATTTTATTCATTCTTCTTCTTTATTTTTCGTTGTTGAAAGGCTGATTACGTTCGTTTTTCTTTTTTATTTTCTTTGGTAGTTGAAATTAAAAAGGTCGTTATATATGAAACAAAATCTTCGTAAAAGGTGAACTTGCCAATTTCTCAAATGAAAGTTAAAATAGACAAGATACCGTGAAAGTCGTTTGTTGAGCATAATATGTTAAAATGTGTATGAATACTTAAAGAATTGTTGGGGCACTAATTGATAGCCTGTATTATCGACTATGTTAGAACATGAACTTTAAAATTAGTTGCATCACCTCTCCACAAACCTGTTAATATGTTCATTCTTTGATCATTTGCCAGTTATAGTAAAGATTCTCCTAGATTAACTATTTTAGACAACAGGATTCCAGATTTTGTCTTGTTCTGATGCAAGTTAAAGATTTCTATATAATATTAAAACGATCGATGATAACACTTATGATTTATCGTGCTCTTTGGAAGCCAAAATCATTATGAAGAAAAGCTAGCTATACTTATGGAAGTAGCTTTCAAATGTGTTATTTGCTATGAATTATTCTCGAAATATGTATTACTGCAACAAAATATTTCTGTCAATATTATTTGTTGTAGTATGTTATGCGCTTCTATTTCTTTCTTCAGAAAAATACTGTATAGCTAAAGATGATGCTAATATGAAGTTGCTGTAATCTGCGTAATACAATAAAAAAAGTGATTGACACGAATCTATTTCAAATCAAACAAAGGTATTCTGCTTTACAAAATATATGTATTATAAATTCATGTTCAAACTAAAATGAAAGGATAATTGTAAACAGATGATTATTTTAAAGGAAATCTACTCCTCTGATTCGTCGTATAGCAATCATCAACCTTGAGCAATTTGACATGTATTCAATCAGAACTTAAACATTCATTTATCCAAACTTGCTAATAAATACGGATTTGTATTAAACAAGCTTTCTTTTAAATAACATCTAAGTTGAAGTAGTACGCGTTATTATTCTTATGAATAGCGTTTCACAATTTTTCTATCCCACATATGCTTGCTGTACTTAGCGAAATTAGATGTAACACAACTGCGGAAAACCTAAATCTGCAAAGTAACATATGAATAATTCACAGAAGAATTATATCCGACTTTTATGAATACAAATGATACATTCCGAAACATATAACAATAATTTTAAGTTAAGAAATGATGGATGAACAGGCCTTACTAACTCCGATAGCCCTTAATTAAATCTCATAGTACATTGCTGTTCTCGTAAAACAACTTATTTGCAAGAAAAATTTCGAACTGAATTATACATGCCTAACATCCATTGATTAATCAACATGTTTTTCATCAATTGCTAAACAAAAACAATTGAACTTGATGCCATCATAAAGAGTTTATCAATGCATAACACGCATAACATCGATCAAATAGATGTTAAAACCTTGATCTATCTTCAACTAAATATTAACTAATAATTCAAGCTATTTAAAATACCATTTAGTTCAGCTGCATTATGAAAATTCTTCATCCTAAGCAAGAACAACGGACAGTCGTTAAACTTTGTAGAGAATACACCTAGATAGATCTTAAAGAGTTATGATGACCACCCTTAGAGAGCACTTGAAAAATTATGGGGATTATCATTAGTATTTCTTAAATTAACTTTCTTTGCATTAAAAAATCAAAATAAAGTAGTATTTGCTTCATATCAATCATTAATCATCAATATTAATGAATTAATGATTAAATGAAAAAACATTAATTTTAATATTAATGAATTAATGATTAAATGAAAAAACATTAATTTTAATATTAATGAATTAATGATTAAATGAAAAAACATTAATTTTAATATTAATGAAT